CCAGAGCCCTGGCCCAGGCTGCCCAGAGAGGGTGTGGAGTCTCCTGCTCTGGAGACTTTCAAACCCACCTGGACGCGTTCCTGTGGGGCTGCCCTGGATGACCCTGCTCTGGCAGGGGGTGGCACTGGGGGATCTCTAGAGGTCCCTTCCAAACCCCAACATTCTGTGATTCTGTGATTCTGTGATTCTATGAGTGATGTCCAGCCTGCTGAGGAATATCTCGTAGCTGATGGTTTAGGAAGTTGTGCTCTAAAGGCTGGCTCTGCAGGGCTCAATACACCCAGCAGCTGGTGCCTGCAAGCATGATTCCCATGACCATCGCAGTGCTCATCGTAAAACTCAACCTCCTACAGCAGCCAGACAGCTGTAAAAGCTGAGGTCTCTCCAGCCCTGTGCTGCTGTCCCTTCGTACCTGTGGTAGCAGAAGGGAGGAGCAACTCCCACAGATGATGCTGAGAGCTGGAGACCAGACCTGTGTCACTGGTGTGTGGGACAGTGACTTGGATGGCCTTCAATGTGGATGGAGGTGTCCTGGACTCACAAGAGTGCTCCAACTGCCATGGGAACAGGCACACACAGGTGCTGCCCTGTTAAGTCCAGCCACAAATAGAGCCCAGCAATGCAAAGCCTCAAAGCAGAAGTCCCCAGTCCTTAAAAACAGCCAGGCACCCTCCTAAAGCACCGTCAGAAGCAGCGCTGCAAGCATCACCCTCCTCTCAGCCCCTGGTGTTGCACAAAGTAGTTGCGTTAAGTTTCCCCTCTGCTCTCACAATCACTTTTTGGGTGCAAGAGACCGAGCTCCTGCCCTTGCTGTAGCTCCCCTCATCATTGCAGGGCGCAACCTTGCGCTGCGGAATAAAACCCAGGCTCACTTGGGTTGGAATCATGTCTTGCCCTAAAAGGGGCTGAGAAGGAGCCAGGGAGAGCAGTGAGTGTAGAGACGCCCAAACCAAGGTTTTGGAGGACTTTTCCATGGCCCCACGGAGAGCAGAGGTTGGACATATCCGTGGCCGATGCAGCTGCCACGCTGATGCCGTAGGGGAAGGAGAGACCGCCCTGAGGTCGGTCCATCTCAGAGGCATCAGTGTTTGTGCCAAGGACAGGAGCCATCCCCACCTTCCCCAGCAAGGGCCAAGCAAAGCCAAAGTCCCCACAGTCACACAGATCAAACAGATCAAATGTTCAGGCGTGGCCTGAAAGTCCACGTGGTGCATTTCTGGGAGAGACGCCCTTACTGCCCCCAGTTCTCCAGCGTCAAGTTTAAAGGGAGATCCCTCCTCTGTGTGTGATCCCTTTCCAGAGCAGCTGCAAGCACTCCCTGTTTTGGACATCTCCAGTCCCTTGTCAAATCTAGTTCAAACTGGACAAGAAAGCTTAAGTTATTTTGGGAAAAATAAAATGGGAAGTTTAGATTAGTGCAAACTGTGCTATTGCTTAAGTCCCGTTTCTCCAGGAAGCCAAGCAAGTTTGCTTCCCTGTCCTCTCTGCGCTCCCTGCATCATCATGGTGTGGCACAGCTGGAGCCTGGTGGCTGGAAGGCTGCAGTGGTCTCCAAAACCAGACCCTCATCCTGCTGGGAGTTTCCATCTAGAGGCTGCATCTCGTGCCCAGAGAAATTGCAGCGGCTGAGCTCTTGCACCTCTGTTTGCCAAATCTTCTGCTCCCAGGTGTGCTCAAAAAAAGATGCCTTGAGCAGCAGGATCCCACCCAGGAAACCCTCTGTGCCTTTGTCCCCAGCAGCTGTCCCTCCTGGGACTGCACTTGGTCCGAGTTTTGGGACTGAAAAGCCACCTCCTGAACTCGTGAACCTGGAGGGGCAGGGCAGGTTGTGCACACTCAATAGCAGATGTAGAAACTGGAAAGCTCTCCTAGCCAGCCCTCACGGGGCCAGAAATCCCCCCAGCCCCCTTTAGAGAACCCGTTCACACCAGTTTGACATTGGCACAGCTGGACTGGTATTGCTGGGGCACCCTCCAGGGGTGGAAAGCAGGACCAGGCAGGTGTTCCCACATGAGTCCTCACCCCTTCCTGGGCTCTAACAGGCATTCTCCGTGCCTGGAAGAGCAACCGCTGCTGCCGGTGGTGACACAAACCTTGGGCAGGACATTTCACGTGCTGCCATGGAGAATTTTTGGGTGTAGGGTGGAAGAGCCCAGTGGGTTTGTGCTGGGAGGCGACGGCACAGAGCTTCCCCGTTATCATGTGGAAGATGGGAGCAGGTTTCATCCTTCAAAGGCAAAGGGCTGTTGCCATGACACAGCTTGGCCGGGTACACGGCCTTCCCGGCTTCCCGCACACCACTCCTCCCAAAGCACAACCTTCACCCCAGCTCACCCGCCTCGCCTGTCCTCAGCCCCCTCCCTGTGCTCTCACCTCGCATCACACCCTGAAAAGCTTCCTCGCCGCCCAGGGAAGCGGAGCAGTGGTTCCCCACCCCAGAAATAACCGCGAAAAGGCACTTAGAAGCACGAGGGGATGGCAAACGCAGGGTGCTGGGATGAGGAACAGAGGGGACACAGCCTGGCACACCCCGGGCAAACTTTTCTTCTGGTCCAGGATCCAGGCTGGGCTGCTCTAGCAACACAAGCCCCCAGGACCGGGGCGAGCAACCCCTGCCGGGCTCTGGCCTCCCTCCTTGATGAGACACACTCGGGTTAAGGAGCAGACAGTTTGTTTTTTTTTTCTCCCCAGGTAACACCTTGGTAACAGCGTAGGCGTTGCAAAGTCGTTGTTGCCTGGTTTCCTCAGGCCCAGGAAATCACATTAGCTCGATCAAATTTAAACTTTCAGTTGGTGGGAAAATCGCCAAGCGATACCAACGTGTTTTCTTAGATCGTGTGCTCTCCAGTTACACAGGGAGGGGGAGGGCAAAGCTTGTAGCAGGCTGGGGCTAAAAAGGTCGTTCCTGTTCCTTTTGCAAACGGGCTGCGCTTGCACTGCGACTTCCTGAGCAGAGGCCACAACTTGTGACACACACACGTGACAAAACGCCAACACCCCACGAGGAGGACGACCTTCCACCCCATTCTTCAGGCCTGAAAAGAACAGGTTAAATACGTCGCGGAACAGCCCATTTCCTTAAACTGTACTTGTGCTTTTTTTTTTTTTTTTTTCCTTTTCTGAAAAGTCTGGTGCAGACACAAGTGTCTACAGTAAAATGACAGCAGGATGTTCTCTGCTAGCAGACACAACCAGAACTACAGGCTACCAACGGAGTCACAGCTATTGTTTGAAGGCAGCAGAACAAGCAACATAACCAACATTTTTTACTATATCAAAACATCACTCTTTACATTTGTCTCTGTTCACTACAACGGGTTCAAAACGGTGTGTGCGTGCAGATACCTCCACAGCCTACGCAAACTAGAACATAGGAAACAGGAAACCCACCCCATCTCACCGAAAGCACCGCCTACCCACACTTCCCACAAGACTGAACCCAGTCCCAAACGTGCAGGGAACCGTCGCTCGCTGCCGACAGCAACGTTCTCTGTTTCTGCGGATGCCACGTGTGCGCCGTGACCTGGGGAGGGTCTCTGCCACCGCCGGGCCCGCCGAACACGTGGCCTTTGTGGATAAAGATCGGCTCCACTTCCCTGCCGGAGTTGTCCCAACTCTGCGTGTCGTACACGTGCACGGTCCCATCAAAACCTTGAATAAAAGAGAATGGTGAGAGAGCGCAGAAATAAATTGCTTTGCTCTCGTCCTAGCGGGCTCGCCTCCCAGCAGGGCTGCGGAGATGGAAACGAGAACAAAGGCCCGTACTGAAAACCTGTGACAGCAGAGCTTCCAAACCTCTGAGGAGCTCGGCTCGAGCTAACAGCTGCTGGGGAGAACACAGGCCAGATCCAAAAAAGCTTGCTGATTCACCGGTCTGAATCTGCAATCCTCCAGCCAAGAGGCAGCCTTGCTGCCCAGCCAGTATTATCAGAATCCCAACAGCCAGGCCGTCACTGGCACTATCAGGGCAGTGTTTGCTAAGTGCTCGGGGACTTTGCTCTCCCGGGAGGGAAGTGGGAATCCCCCAGAACCCATCCAGGCCCCTTCTGCAGTTGTTGGGGGCAGCTGCAGCAGAAGATTAGCTCGCTGTGCCACCGGCTCCGGGAAGAGCGCTCTGAACAACCACCCCCAAACTGGAGTGTTTAAAGCAAGGTGGGGTGAACTGGCCCTCGATAGAAATACAGATTAAAAAAAAAAACAAAACAGAAAAAGAAATCTTTGGCCAAAGCACACACCTGAAACAGCCAGGCAGCCTTCCAGAGCAGGAGCCCAGGAGACACACAGGAACTCTGCACCTGAGCGAGGAGAGGGAACTCGGCACTTTGCTGAGGCCAAGAACTCGGAGGTTTTTCTGACATCTGTGAGGACGAGGTGCCCTCCGCTTGAGAGGCAAGCTACGGGCTGGGAGCTCGAGCCAGAACCTCGAGGCCCACGCCCGACTGCCATGCACCAGTGCTCGGCACACAGCGCCGAGGGGACGGACGCAGCCTCC